TGGTGAGACAAGTTACCCATTTCAAGGGCCATTTATAAATCTGACATCAAACTGCAAAGTAATGCTGCTTCTATGCATTTATATCCTAGTGGTCTACATGACCTGGCTTGGGAAGACTGGAACTGATTATAGATATCAAAGCAGGAACTGCCAGAATGCCATTCCATTTCCTACAATTCCTGGAAACTTATGAATTGTTTGGGTCATCCATTTCCCTTTTTGGGACTTAACTGTTCCCTAATCTCTCACTGATAGGGATTCTTCCATCAGGACTACCTACAATGACAGGGAAGCAGTAACGGGGAAAAAGAGAAACTCACTAAGTGCAAAAACATTACTGAGAAGACAGTAAGTCTGAAAAAGTCTTATTTAATTGAAGATCCAAAGGTCCTGGAACATGGAGAAAAACTGTCCAAAGACAGAAATGGGGGCTGGAGCTCACAGGACAGTACTATGGAGGACAACAAAGGTGCAAATGCAAAAGGAGAAGCAGCAGCAAAACTAGCCACCAGACCTTAAAGAATGCTAAGGCCTTCATGGGTCCCTTGCAGTAGGAAAGATTCTATGCATCTTTGGATAGGACCTTCATTGTTAGGACTGTCCATAGGAGGTGACTTGCATTGGTTCTGCTGCTTACATCCCTGGGGTCTCAGCTACTTTCTTTGTTGAAATGTTACCTCATTAGATAAGACTATAAGGTATTTTTCAAACATAAAATTATATTTATAAAAAGAATACTTTTTGTTAAAATATGTACTATAAATTATTGAAACAAGTAATGAGGAAGAAAAAAAAGGATTTGCTGCTTGAATTGCAATTCCCCTTAGAATATAATAAATAAGGACTTTAACTGTTAGACAATTTTTAACAATTTTAGACCTTGATACATGCTGTCAGTTTTTATTTAGTTCTCTTTAGATGAAAAATATTCCAAGTATTCCTGAAACTTTACAGCAAATCCAAACATAGCTCAATTACTTAATTTTTAACATAATAAGTCAGAGATATATCCTTGTAGTGTCTAAGGTAGAAAAATATAAGCAGCCATTACTCTTCAGCATTGGGTAGGAGATAGTACTTATGATTATATTTTCAATGAATTAGTGTATAGGAGTAATTTCTATATATTTGGAAAATGTGTTTAACCATACCTCAGATCATCCTTGTCTACAGCAAATTTGTTGTTTGATTGAACACATTGATGAAATCACATAATTCCTGTTGTGAAGACTAATTTAAATTCACTTTTGATACGAAAATGTAAAGGAAAATTTTCTGTTTAATGTGATTTTTAAAAATACATTAGCAAAAATCCTAAGTTGTCAGAAGACTAAGAAAAATCTACCATTGCTGAAAGCAATATATTGTCTACTGTTTTCTGAAATGTTAACATAATCATTAGTGTAAAATGTATGATATACATTTAGCTGGAAGAGGAACTATAATGGATTTATCTGATGCTTTTGGACTATCTGTTCATATTTTGGACTGTATGTAACTAGAGTGTTCACTCTGGCTTAGGAGCCAGCCCTTCTGAACTAAGTAGCCTTAGTCTCTACATAGCAAAGTAAGACTACTCTTAGCAAAATACTGAAAATAATTAAGTGTTCTTCTCAGGCAAAAATGTATTATAATGGATATTTTCATAATTAACTTGGAATAACAAAGCCAATAATTATTCCTTTAATGAGTTTTAGAAGACAAGCAAAACCATCACAGCAATTGCTCTACATATACAGAAATAATCTAACATTTTTGTGCATAATTATTACAATACATCTGGCAATTATATAAAAACACAGTTCCATCAATATGAAAACATGTGTAGAAGGTTTTCTGACAAGTGAAAAAAAAAACAGAGAAGAAGAAATAGAGAGTGCTCAGGGTCCATGCCTATAATCCTAGATCTGGAGGATGGCTATTTGAGGCCAGTCCTGGCTGAAAAGTCCAACAGAATCCATCTCCAAAATAAAATAGCAAAAAATAGCACTGGGGGTTTGGCTCAAGTGGCAGAATACCAGCTAAGCAAGCACAAGGCCCTGAGTTTATACTCCAGTAATGCCAAGAAAAAAAAAAGAAAAAGGAAACAGCATTCTAGTAGCTTGAAATGGTCTAAAATAGAATTTTCTGTGCCAGTAAGAGAAGATGCCCTATATTTATAAAAGAAGAAAGCATATCTATTCATATGTGAATTGAATATTCTCAGAAGGATATACAGAAACCTGTTAGAATGCACATGATTCTAAGCACAGAAAATTTACTTTTTATTTTACACTATTTTTCATTGGTTGAAAATTTAAAACTATGGCATATATTATTTTTAGAGCATGACAACTTAAAAATATTAAAAATTAAAACAAGGAACTTCAATTATATCTTTTCTCCCTTGAATGAATCTATGATTAGATTACTGGCTGCTGGGCCAGGTTCATGCCTGTAATCCTGGCTTCTTAAGAGACTGACATCTGAGGATTGCGGTTTGAAGCCAGCTTGGGGAGGAAAACCATGAGATTCTACCTTTAATTAACCACCAAAGAGCCAGAAGTGGAGCTGTGGCTCACGTGGTGGAACGCTAGCTTTGAGCAAAAAAGCTCAGGGATACTCCTCAGGCCCTGAGTTCAAGCCCGAGGAATGGCACACAAATAAGACAAAATGGAGGCCTTTTGAAAACAACAAAATGTCCAAACTGTAAACAAATAACGAAACTAAAGTTGTTAGCATTACTGTTTTTCAAAACTTCTAAGTTCCTTTTCTCCTCAACAGCACCAATATTCTATTTATTTAGGTGTAAATTTGTATTACATCTTGCTAAACATTTTTTAGAATAAGCTTGGCGGAAAAGATCCCCCTACATCCACATTCTGAGTAATTACTGACTTGTCTGTGGATTTAGACTACTGTGAAGAACACACCTCAAGCTTCACCTTTCTGCACTGGAAGAGCTTGCAACAAATGCAGCCATCAGTCACTAACATTTCATGAGTCAGATGAAATGCTGGAAGGTACCTGGCACACTTAGCAACTCTTCTTCCACTGGGAAGAACTTATAAGAGGAGGCAGCTGCCAAGCTATTAAAAGCTATCGTTTTACTTATTTTTTATACTTCGAACAGAAGTATATAAAGTATATTTTTCTTTTAAAAAGAAAAATAACAATGAACTCCCCCATTCTCTCTCTCTCTCTCTTTCTCATCCTTTAAAAGTATAGAGAATAAAGTTGAGTGAAATGGGTGTGTGCTTATAGTTCCAGTTACTAGTAAGGCAGAGCAGGATGATTACTTTAGCCCAGGAGTTGGTGGCCAGCCGAGGCAACATAGCAAGACCCATCTCAAATGCAAAAACAGGAGTATAAACAATACAGTTCTTAGTATGTCCATATGAAAAAAAGCATGAAAAGACAAACATAAACAGGGATATAAAAAGTTATTCTGACCCAATTTGGCTGTGTTTGTAACCACTTGTGCCATGGACTACATGAACAAAAACAAAGGGCACTGGCCTGAAAATATGGAGGCCATGCTCTAATTAATAGTGTCATTTTGAATGAATCTCTAATAGCTTCTTGGGTCTCAATTTCTCAATCTGTAAAATGAAGGAGGTGATGAGAATGATCAGGAATGATCCTTCCTTTCTTGGCACCAAGGCTCTGCTTCTAGGAACTTGGACCTCCCACAATCCTAGTCACTTATCAGACCACTTTTTATGTTCTCCTCCTCCTCCTCTTTTCTAAACATTCTATATACGTTAATAAAAATAGGATTCGTGTGTGAAATTAAACATCTGATAGAGTTTATGGCAGGTTTAAAAGGTAGGATCTTGATAAAATCAAGTCATATATATTTTGATAAAGGAACTAGACTTAAGAAATGAAACTAGCCAGGTGCTAGGGAAACTCAGTTTTACACTTCTCAAGAGTTAGCTGTTAGCTCCATAACTCTGAGTGTACCCAAAGCATTTTTAAAGATAGCCTTAATTTCCAGATTTCAGTTCTATCTTCCCATTTTCCCACCTACACTTACTTGTCTGAAAGGGGAATTGCTACCATATTTGCCAATTCTTTGTTGAGGAGCTATCTGCTGTACTCTAGGAGGTTTAGCAATGTTTATGACCTCTATACACTAGTTGCCAGTAGCATTCCCAATCTTACACCTAACAAAAATGTCTCCAGACATTTCTAAATGTCCCAAGGAAGGCTTCAGCATGACATTATATATATATATATATATACACACACATATTTGTAATTATCTATCTATCTATCTATCTATCTATCTATCTATCTATCTATCTATCTATCTATCTATCTATCTATCTATCTATCTATCTATCTACCTATCTGTCATTTCATAGTGAAGAAACAGCAAGACAATTCAGTCTAAGCAAGAGATAATGTCACATAATAAAACAAGTTTAGTAAAAGCAATATACATGATACTCTAGTATTTATTAAATGTTTCTACCAAGTACTACTCATATCAGAAAAATACTGACTGACAACTCTGTAGTACCTGATGGCATAGATTAAAATATACCACATTTTTTTTCTGTCTGGTAACACATCCACATTCATTCTAACTTGGAAATATTTTAGAATACTACTAAGTAAAAGTAAATGTTCTATCCAGAAAGATAAAACATCTTTTATCTGGAGATTTCAATACCTCTAGCATAAATGTGTATCTACCAAGTGGGCTAAAAATAGTATGACTATGACAGCCGAAGATGTAAATTAGAGTAGAAATAACATTACATTTAAAAGATACAAGCTACTTTGGGCCCTTGTCCCATTCTTACAATATTACTTGAAAGATTAACTTCTCTGAGCCTCCTCGGTTTCCTTATCTGGAAAATGACTATAATAACATTTGCCTTGTATATTTCATAATGTTGGTGGCAAGATCAAAAGAAAAAATATAATGTAAATAATGAAGGATTCTAAGCATGAAAAATAAAAGAAAAAGTCAAAATACATAGGCAGCACATACTCTTGAAAATATTTACCTTTTGAGAAGCTGAAGGTTTTTCCATTTTGGGCTTTTCCTTGGGAGTTAAAGGAGGTGATCGCTCCTTTATCTCTGGAGGCATTTCTCGATACAGTGCTAGAAGAAGGAATTAGTGTAATTAAGTTGAGGAACACTATTCTAAGGGAAACAAATGATAGAGGAAGGCAGATATAAAATTAAAGGGAAGTTGATATTGAATTTCTTGTATTTGTTACATACAGCAGATAGTTGTAATAATTGTTATGACAATTCGTAGTCTGACCCATTAGTTACCCTTGGAAAAATTTAATCAGCAGGATTTCAGAAATACAGAAGGTGTAATATCACTTACTGTGTGGTCATGTAGATGCTTATTTCTTTTTATCTCAATAGACACTTGCCAGGAACCTACTGTAAGTAAAGTTATCTACTAGGAAATGCCGGAAATGTGAAGATAATCCCTGCTCTCAGGGAGTTTACAATCTGGTCAGGAACAGATTATATTTTGTAATGTAAATAAGATGTGGCACTCTTTTGAGAGAGGACTAGAGACAAAATACTGTGTGGATGAAAAAGAGAATAAAAGAAGTGTACATGTGACAGACTCTGAAGACTAAGGAGGCTTCTTCCAGGCAGAGTATAGAGAAAAGCTAATTTGGAAAGATAAAATGAAATAAGTAATTCTTACACATATGAAAAAACAATTTTTCTTATTCATTTATGGCCTGGAAAACAGAATCCTGTTTTTTTATCTCCTGAGCAAATATTACGGAGTTAAAAAATTATTAGTTAAAAGATACTCTAAACTGAAATTCCTAAAATACATTTAATCAAAATTATATAAGTAATATAATGAGCTATATTTACTGGCTTTACATATGGGTTAGTATTATTAGCGGGTTTGTATCTTACATGAAAGGATGTTAGATGTGACTAAGGGAAACTGATTATGTTTGTCTTTCTAGTAGTTTAAGACAAAGAGAATAAGATCTTCATAACAAGAAAACAATCTTTTTTTAAAGGCTGTGGTTCTTAATTGAATAGCTGGTAGAGATTCTGCTCATATATACACATAATCTTACTTTTAGTCTTTGCAGATTTGGTTTCAGATTAAGATCAATGGAAATTCTTGCTACTATTTTCAGAATGCAACATACTTTTAAGAATCATTTTTCCTCTTATGTTAAAATTGGGTAGTTGAGTTTTTGTTAAACTTAGGTAACACTAGGGTAAAAAGAAAGTAAAACAACCTCCAACAAAGAAACTTCCAACAAAAACCTCCAATTATTATATCCTCAGATATAGTAAGATTTTCTCTATTTATTCTGCCATTCAATGCTTTTCCAGAGTGTTAATGAATGACAAAAGAAAATATGAATTATTCTGGGACACAAGAAATTATGTCATTTGGGCTGGGAAGGTGGCTCAGTGGCAGAGCGCTTGCCTTGCATGCCTGAGGCCCTGGGTTTGATTCCTCAGCACCACATAAGCAAAAAGAAAAAAGCCGGAAGTGGCACTGTGGCTCAAGTGGTAGAGTGCTAGCCTTGAGCTGAAGAGCTGAGGGACAGCGCCCAGGCCCAGAGTTCAGGCCCCACGACCGGACCCCCCCCCCAAAAAAAAAGAAATTATGTCATTTGCAGGATGGTCACTACTTAAGACAAAGAATTAATTCTGTATTGCAATCTTTGCAAATATTCCAGAAGCGTGGCTTTAGCTATTAGGAAAAGTTCCCCTCTTGGTCTGTTAGGTAGTTCCCATGTCTTACTGCAGTTCTCTACTACCTTTAGCAAATCTCTTCCCCTTAAAAGGACTAAATAGGCCCCAAATTACTTCTCTCTTTCACACTTACTCAATTCTTAATTTTCTCTGTACCACTATTTTAGTTATTTTTCTCATAAATAGTGAGTGATATAACACTATACTAGACTAGAGGAATAGTTATGTTTAAAATTAAACTACCTAATGAAGAAAAATTAAAGTACAATGGAAGGATGAAACTTTAGGGGAAGATTTTCAGGTAGACATTTAAAGTCATCTCTCAAAAACTCATCACTTTTAACTTCCTGATTGTCAAAATATCCAAATTCTCTGCCCTACTTTCAGTGGCAGTTCTCATTCAGTTTCAACAGCTGCGATTAAGCAAGAGTAGCTGGAGTTTCTAAATGAAGAACTGCCAAACTATACATATATATGTAGTTGTATGTATATATACATATATATATATATATATATATATACACACACACATATACTTTCATAGTTATATGTATTCTAGGTATGTCTATTACTGTAGGTATTATAGCCTATCACTCCTTGAAAGCATTACTGATTTTTCTTACTTGGCAATATAAAAAGACTGTCTCCCAGCAAGAAGGTACTTTAACTTTAGTTTGTATAAATTATGTTTTGGCTTATCAGCATTGAAAGGTTACAGATATTTGATCTACAGTGAGTTGCTGGATGAGATTACAAGCTTTATCTCCTGACCTTAGTGTTGCACTTTTTCTAACACATCATCAAGTTAACTGGTGATAGGATACACATTTTCTGAGGAAGCATTGTACTACTCCCTTTTCATCACAATCTTAAATTATTCTTTTCATTTTCAGGCTCTCTGCATTAATTGTATTTTCACCTTTCAAAGTCTAGTAATGAATGCCTAGCTTTCAGAAATTCATATTTGGAATTTCTTTGTTAGTTTTTTTTCCCTGAAAAAAGTGACTACTTAATGTATGTGAAAATGCAACAATCTGCTTTTGTTTTAGCAGATAAATTGCTAGGATTAAGGTATACAAAATGAAAGACTGGGAGTTAGGGAGCCAGAAATTCTTAAGATGCTGGTCAATGGCGTCACTGTGACATGAGAAGAGCTGACAAAACTGTGTGCAGCAGGTAGGAGGGTCAAGCTGGAGAAAACAGATAGCTTGAGGGGCAGATCCCCTGGGATGACACTATTCCAATCTCAGAATGGAGCTGCTTTCATGCACACGAATGCCTTGCCTTTTTACTTTTTTTTTTTTTGCCTTTTAACTTTTTGTATGATGAGAAGTGTAACATATACTGGTAAACATATGCAAAGATTATAAAGACAGTATATTAAAGGGTAGAAAACAATAAAAATCTTTGACTATTAGTTACACCATATTAGTAAACGAGGAAGGGGGCATAAAACTTACTTTCACTAGCCACATGATTAGCTGGAAAATAACCATCCTGTCCCTTTCCTACGCTGCCATACCACCAGTCTTCATTATCTTTGAAAAACACTCGGATAATGTCTCCTCGATGGATGGTTAGTTCATCTGATCGGCTGGCTGTGTAGTCATAAAGAGCCACTACCTAAGAGAGATAAGACCACCACAGCTTTATCACAACTATGCCACAGAGAAACCCCCAACACTCACTTCCTCTTGCAGAAGAGCAGCTGAAACCAAAGCAGTACTGAGGCTGTCTCAAGGTTTGCTAATGGGATGAGGGGTGGTGGGAACACAGCAGGAGAAGCAAGATAAAAGACTGTGGGATTGAGAAATGGTTGTGAACATTTAACATACTAAGATTAGCTTCAAAATAGCAGATGCTAATTTTTTTTAAGTAAAGCAAATAATAACAAGCTACTACTACATCACTCACCTTTTTTTTGTAATGTGTTTTATACTACACTTTAAAACCCATTCTCTGTGCTAAACAGATGAATCTAAAAGAAAATTCTTCAAGTTAATAGTTTTATAAAAAAGAAAAAAACTGAATGGAACAACCCGATTATATAACTCCATTGTGATCACCATTTGATTTATCATTAATATCTTTTCTTGTGATTAATTTCTTTAGAAAAACGTGTTTTAGTACTTTATACCACCAATATACATCTCTGAACTACCTTTAAAAGTATCCTTGTAAAAGTGATTTTTGTTAGACACAAATTCTAAAAAAGAAAGGCCTGCCTATGAGAATCTTCTTGTTTGTATTGGTTCAACAATCATTGCATTTGATTACTTTCATTTGAAAAAAAGCCAAAATAATATGGCATTGTCTATACATTTAAAAATCCTTTATAGCACATAAGGGGAGGGAGACTATAATTCACTTTAGATTTGATATAAAGTAGGACATAATAATGTATATACTGGAAAATATACTTAACCAATTATCTCCTCTCAGATTAAAGGGGTTTGAAACTTTATAGTAGGTTTAAGCAACCATACACACACACACACACACACACACACACATTATCATGATAATTTTTTAAGTACATGCTACATTTATTATGCATATAATATACATACATTTATATGTTAGAATGCATATCTTTTTTTTTCCTCTTTAATTTTTGTCAGTTCTTTTTTTATTTTATTTGTGAACATACTGTACAGAGGGGTTACAATTACATGGGCAGGATAATCATGATAATTTTTTGCAATTAGTTTGAGTACTGATTCATTCACTCAAATTCTAATATGAGTGGTGCTGGGGGCTAACTATACTAGCAAACAGGATAATCCCTAAGAGAGGAACCTATTTAAAAAGCTTTTCATGAGCATTAAGAGACCATTAGAACATTCAGGTAAAACAAGAGCAAGAATGTCTTAGACTTTATAACATGTGTGAGTGCAGCAAAGAGAAACCCCAAGTAGTTCAATATGGTACCTGAGAATCAAATTGAAGGACAAGGGAAGCTAAAAAGGAGTATTATTCCACCAGGAATAATAATGTCATTTGCAATAAAATGTACAGACCTGGAAAAAATAATATTGAGTGAAGTAAGTCAGGCTGAGACAAAGGTAACATATTTTCTCTCATGCAGAAGTTAGATGTAAAATATAAGCATATGCAAATATACACGGAACCATATGTATATATACACATAACCTGATTAAAATATTCTGGGATATGTTTCCATAATGTAACTCATTTGAACAATTAATAGTCTAACATATCTTGCCTAAGGTATCTGGGGGACCAACTGGAGAGGGGAGACAGATGACTAGAGAGATGAATAGTGGGCGAACGCAGTCATAATACACAATGCACATATGTGTAAATGAAATTAGAAAACTCTAGGAAATGGAAGGAGCTGGGATAGATGGGGAAATGACACTGAACAAGATTCATTATACACGTAAATGAACATACTATAGTAAAATCCCTTTGTACAATGACTTGGAGATTATAAACATTTTTAAATGATTTCATTTCCATTTTTAATTTTTTTTTGTGTGTGGGAGAAGTACTGGTATTGGGGTTTAGATCTGGGGTTTCATACTTGCTAGGCAGGTACTCTATTGCTTGAGCCATACCCTTAGTCCTTTAAAAGCCTCATTTCTTAATAACAATGAAGGAACATTTGATCTTTATATTAAATAAAAAAGAGAATAAAATGGTAATTGAACACCAAATTTAACAATGAATCCTGAGTTATCCAGAAGTATATTACTAAATATTCAAGCAAAACCTTTTCTAATGGTGACACTGGGGCTGTATTTCATTTATTTATTTATTTATTATATTATTATAAGGATACTGTACAGAGGGGTTACAGTTACATGAACAAAGTAAGGAGTCCATTTCCCTCCTTTGTTTTTCCTTACCTGTATTTTATTTAATACAAATAAAAAAGTATATAGCAGTGTGTTGGAGATGTGAATCAGAGGTACAGCGCCTGCCTAGAAAATGTGAGGCTCTTAGTTCAAAACCTAGACCACAGGAAAAAAAAAGTAGATAGCTCTACTTCAAGCATTATATGATAAAAACAGTGTCTATTCTAATTATTTCAATAAGCATGCAAAAAAACCCTAAACAGACTTTTAAAAAATAAATCAAGATCCTATTGCTTCTAATGAATATTATCTGGATAACAGATTAAGAAAATAAAGATCTAACAAAAGTAAATAATTGCATCATAAAGTTCATTTTCTCTGTACCAAAGTATTTGTTGCTATCATGCTATATATGTGAAGTTAAAATACCTTATCAAACAAGTATTTGAAAGTCTTTAATTTGAAATATTTTTTAATAAAATAATAAAGGACAATAAAATGTATATCAAATTATGAACCAAAAGAATGTGTGTTGTGTTTAATCTATTTCCAATGGAAAATGTGTCACAAAATGCTCAGGTTGTCAGGCTGTAAAATAAGGGTGTTGGACAAGATGATATGGCATACCTTCTATCTTTAAGGTGTTACCACATTGTGCTTTAAAAATAAGGGCAGAATAGCATGTACAGATTTTAAAGTAAGACAAAAATAATAATTTATTAGAATATAGTACAGCCTTATTTGTGATCATAAAGTGGGAAAGCTTCCTGGGTAACACTTAAACAATAACAGAGAAGCAATTCTTTGCAATTTACCATTTAGATATATTTAATTTCTTCTTTGACAAACAGGGATGACTCTGGAAGTCACTTTGACTCTGGAAGTCAAAGTGAACTTGACCTTTTGGCTTTAAGAAATAAAGCTGCTTTATATGTGAAAGCTTAAGTTTACATGTGACTGGTGCTATGATTGGAATATATCTCTCAAAATTTGTTTTTTTTGGTGAATCTTAACACCAATATTAGGAAGTAGGGCTTTTAGGAGGTGACTAGATCATAAAAGACATGGAAATTAATGGTCTTACAGAAAAGGTCTCAAGCTGGGCACCAGTGGCTCACGCCTATAATCCTAGCTACTCAAGAGGCTGAAATCTGAAGATTGTAGTTCAAAGCCAGACAGGACATGAAAGCCCATGAGACACTTATCTCTAATAAACTACTCAAAAAAAAAAAGCTGGAAGTGGTGCTGTGATTCAAATGGTAGAATGCTAGCCTTGAATTCAAAGAGGCTCAGGGATAGGTACTCAGGCACTCAGTTCAAGCCCCAGGACTGGCAAAATAAACAACAACAAAAAACCCCCACAAATGTATCAGAACTTTTTCATCATTTGTGACCCAAGAAGAGGAATCACACCAGACCCACCTTTTGCTACTACCTTGATCTTGGACTTTTTAGCCTCTAGAAAAGTGAGAAATAGATTTTTATTGTTTATATGGCACTTAATATTATGGTATTTTGTGATGGTACCTCATGCTAAGATAATTGATATCAACTATATTTTCTGAAAATCCTAACTCACAAAGATCTCCACAGTGAATCACTAGAATTTCATTGAAAGTGTTCTAAATCTTATTTTTAATATAGTTCTTGCTTTGGTCCCATCTTCACTCTTTGTGGGCCACCCCCTCACCCCCCCCCACCACCTTTGGCCATAGGGCTTGAATTCAGGGTGCTGTCTCTGATTTTCTTTTGCTCAAGGCTTTCTACCACTTTAAGTCATAGCTCCACTTCTGGTTTTCTGGTGGTTAATTGGAGGTAAGAGTCTCACAGATTTTCCTCCCTGGCTTTGAATCATGATCCTCAGATCTTAGCCTCCTGAGTAGCTAAGATTACAGGCATGATCCACCAGTCTTGGCCCATCTTTACTCCTTATGCTCTGTCCTCCTTTGTAGAACGGAAATGCATTTAACTTTAAGCATGTATTTTTTATTTTTACAGAGGCTCATTGATGAGTTGCCCTTGAGGCTGTAAGTGACTGTGAATTTAAATTTCTGAGCATTGTTAGGACTGTAAAGATATTGGGACCCTTGGAGATGATAGACATTAGCCTTTGGGAGTGCTATGATTCTAAGAAGTATCTCCCAAATACCCAAGTGTTAAAGCATTGGTCCCTAATGTGTGAGGCTATTGGATGGTGATAGGATTTCTAAGGAGTGAGATCTAATAAGAGGTCTTAGATTATTGAGGGAGTTCTCTGAAAAGGGACAGAGTCTTACTCTCTCTGTTTCCTGACTGCATGAGATGAGTAGCTTCCTCCCACCAAGTGCTTCCATAATGATGTACTGTCTTCTCTCAGACCCAAAAACAATAAGGCCAACTGACCATGCATTAAAATATTCAAGATTATGACCCAAAAGAAACTCTTTCATTTTTAAAGTTTGTTATCTTGAGTGTTTTGCTATAGTGACAGAAAGTTTATCACTAAATCTTGAGTACTAAATTTAAATAAAATTAAGATATCTAGACATCAATAATTAATTGTTCCTGTCACTACAACACTAAGGTCAAAATATTTCAAATTCCAAATATTCTTGTGCACACATTTGAGTACTTGATATAGTAGTCAAGAAGATGACAACATAATTATAGGATAATAAAGAATCCTAATTTGTCTAATTTGGAGAGGGGAAGGGGAATAACAAAACGCTGAAACAAGGACACAGGATGACCCACTGCAACAATGATACCCACAGACAGTTTATTGGAAATGAACTTTACAACTTTGGGTGGGGGGGTACGGGG